AGCATGTACAAGTCGTCTGCGAAGTGCAGACAATCAGTCTGGATCATGAAATGGTTCAGGAAGGTCTGCTTCAGACTGTCAAATGTGTTGATGGTGCAGAGGTTCAGCCTGTAGAACCAATTCAGGGCCGCGTCGCTAAGGATGGAAAGGAAGATGAGACACATGCCTTCGTCACTAAGACCCTTGCATCCAAGAGCAGACTGGAATGAGTGGATATGGGTGAGAGGGTCTTCTGTGCCAGTGTAGAAGGCAATGTAGAGTGGCTAGATGTCCTTCTCCTAGTGATAATTGAGGATATGCTCGGTAAAGGACCCGGGTCGTGGCTATGATGCTGCTCACTTTCTAGATGCCGAACCTTCTCAAAGAGAAGCCTCATGGCCGGGTCGGCATGAGGGAAAGTGTCGGGTGCTGAAAGTCTGGGGTGTGGGTGGGCAGGAGCTGGGTCAAGTTCCCACTCTTCATACGCCTCGGTGTGATAATTTTTCCAGTTTTCTGAATGATAATTTTCCTAGTTGTCCGAGTCCCCTGCACCTTTTCCAGCGGGTAGGTAGGTAGGCTTCGGTGAGGGGCCTAGGTCTTGGAGATTAACAGGGGTAGGAATATGATCTTACTGACGGTCCAAGAGACGATTTCTGCAATCTCTATAGACCTTCATCGGTTCATGGGGCCAGTCCTTTAGCGGGGAGATCTGAAGGAGCCTCGACTTGGTCGTCTTCGGATGGAGAGGGCCTTTACCCTTGCTGAGTCTAGACTGGACTGGGGCACTATGGCTAGTGTGCACGACTGATTTGGCAGGGTATGTTCAGCATCCTGGGTAAAGTCATGTTGGGAACCCTGGGCCTGAGTCTTCTCCCAGTTGCGCTTCAGGGTGCGATATTCATGTTCTAGTTCAATGTTCTTGGTATGAAGGTGTTCGTATTTCTCAGACATCTTGGCGACGCTGGCGTGAAGACGCTCGACCTCTGCTTGGAGGTTGACATTTGCCGAAGGTTTCCTTTATGAGGTATCCTCACGGGGGGTATGGTGCTGAGTATTGTGGCTATCCTCGATTGGCATAGCGGAATGTGGGGTGAAGAAGAGGTGGCGGGGCCTGATGGGAGAAGGAGGCAGCTGGGCTGGTAGAGAAAAATGGGATTCAGAAGTTGATTCCCACAGACGGGGCCAAACTGTTGATGCTATTTTTAGGAGGTCAACTTAGAGAGAAATGGATAGTCTTCAGTAGAGGAGAAGGTGAGGACCTTCAATAAGGGAAGAGCCTGCAGAAGACAAAGTAAAAGAAGCAGTCGTTAAGCTTCGGACACCAGTGTAGTGCCTGCCAAAGGCTCTCCGATGCTTAAGTCAGCTATGAGTGGTAAATTGGCAGAGTAACAGTAAAAGTGAGAGAGAAGTTACCCTTTTTATTTGGGTATTGTTCCTTATTTATAGGGAATTGTAAGTGGGAGGCTTGCACAAAGTTTCGATGTGGGACTTTGTGCAAGTCATTGTGGTGATGACACGTGTCTTAGAGATTAGGTTTGGCAGTTGAGAGCTTCGGCAGTCGAGAGGTTTGACAGGTGTCTGGCACCTCGGAAGAATGTCTTCCTTCGGCAGGGGAGAATGCGTGTTTGCCTTGGTGCTAGTCATTTTGAGGCTGGACATGCTTGGTTGATTATGGTGTAAACACAACTCCTGATTTTGGAGGAATTGAAATCTTGGGTGGGAGGTAGTATTCTAATTCATGGAGAACGTTCCATTAGGAATTCATCTTTTTTACCCATTATATCCTTACACAATTTTAAAATTTAAAATTTTTTCATCTACTTTAACTCAACAACAAGGGCATTTTAGTAGTCAATTTGGTTTCAATTCCAATTTGCGTGAATTTAGTAAACAACTTATAAAGAATTAGTACTGCTCCTACCCCAATTTCATACGGTTTAGTAAACAATTTTAATAGGAATTTGGAATCTAACTCTCCTCAATCCAACTTCTACTTAATTCAATTCTTTCTAATTCGATTACAGATTCATAAATATGCTTAAGGTTTAGAGTTGGAACGTGGTTTTTTTTTCCTTCTTATATTAATATCATCATAGAATTCTTCACGTTCATTTTCAAATTAAATAATTGTCATGACGCTAAGACTTCAGCCTTTAATCCATGTCAGCATTTGGCTTGTTAGTTGAGATGTCAAAAATGATTGTCTTTTGTCCACCATTTTTTTTGTGTGTGGCCATAATTAGGAAAGGAAATGAGGGTTTCTCACACACATTACTAAGATACTATGGAGGTTTAAATTCGAGACCATTAACTACAAGTCAAAGCTCTTTTATACTGGGTTAGACCCCATTAACCACCGATTCATTTGATATCTCAATTAGAGATGCTCTAAAACAAACATTATAAGTGAGTTAATTAATGGTGTAGAGTAGGTAGTTAATTCTTGGCCTTTTCTTTTGATGAAGTGGTGCAATCACATAGAAAGAGAGATGGGAGTACAAAATAACTAATTTTAATAATTCATCAACTTTTTTGACCCACATACTTTGGGTAGAATAAATAGTCGAACATCTATATTCATATAGAAATGATCGTTTAACAAGTCGAGCATACATATTTATATGGTTGAAGCAAGCTTGAATGTTGAGACATTTTTATCCGAAAAAAGTAGAAGAGTTAGAATTATTCAACTTTTAGTTCTTTGATAAAAAAAAGAAAAAAAAAGAAAAAAGAATTGAGGAGTCATTAAAGTGAGTTGTTTCATCTAAAGAGCTTGGCTTGTGATAAGTAAGGAGCCAAGCTTTTTTCTCCATCTAAATCAAATTTTTTATTATTGAGAAATTATGGAATTGCATTAATAATTCAGTCAAAAAAAGCTACTAGCTACAAATGGCCATTACAATAATGGAGCGATCTAACATCAAAATTAAGACAATCTATGGCTCTCTCACTAACCATCACGCAAATCGAAGAAATTCTGAAAATAGGCATCCCAACTAAGAGAGAAAATTTAGAATAATAAAAAATAGATAAAGCTTGAAAAAACCAAGTCATAACAATACAAATAAAACTCTTACAAAGGAGAGAGAAAATTCTTACAAAGGAGAGGTGAAAACTATACAGAAAACCCAAAAAGTCTTTGCAACTTATTCCAAACATAACATCTAATTCATATACAAAGAGTTTCTTGTCCTATACTTTGTGATAAGTAAGGTAAAAAAAAGTAAATGATATAAAAGTCATGGGTCATTGTGAAAGAGACTAGTAAAGAAAAATTAGGTAAAGTAAAAGGTCTAATTTGAAACTTGATCCCAAATTTCAACCAGACAATGAAATGAAAGTGATTTCATTACTACTTATTTCACTCCATTCTCATTCTACTGAAATAGAGCCAAACATGCACAATTTAAGATTAATTTATATAATATTATATAATATTTTCAGAAATTCAATGTTGATATAATTTTTTTTAGAGTAAGCGATAATTGTATTCATAACTTAGGTACCAAGGCCATCAATCACAAGGACATAAACTATCAAAAAAAATTTAATACAAATGTGGAAGCATAATAACCACGCAACGTTATTCCAGATACATAGAAATACATCACATGATATATCTCCACTAATAGTGGCATAAACCCAAATAAATTTCCGCATGAAAATCGCAAGTCTGAACAAATCAGGCATGGACCACAGTGCCCAAAACTATCCAATATAACTACAACTTTTAAACTCTAAAAAGAAAAAATACAAGTAGAGTCTCAACTACAAACAGAACACCCAACTCACAAAGAGTTGGTGTAATTATTACGACCCAAAAAACTCGAAAACCAACCGAGATGACAGAAAGTAGAGTCACTGCCGTCGCCACCAAAAAAAAAGAAACACCACCGTCGAAGTCCAGGTTGAGGGGAAAACCGCAACCACGCCGAAACCTACAACAGAAAAAACACAAAGCCCACATATTTGCAAAAAGAACCCAAACAACACCAAGACAAAGCCACAACGCAAAGGGGCAACATAAGGTGAGAGGGATTGAAATAGATATGGGGCAACAAAGCAACTAGCGGAAGGAGATTTATTTAATACAAGCTATAGAATAAACTAGAGATCTAGGTAGGTTAGCATTCTACCCATGAAATTATTTTTAAAAATTTATTTAATATAAACTACAGTTTAAACTACAAAATGAGGGAGATTTCTCACACACATTACAAATATGCCATGAAGATTCAAACTTGAGACCACTAATTTACAAATTAAGACAATTTTTCATTGAGCTAGACGATTAGCTTCTACCCCTAATTAAAGTCCTAAGCAGCCACCAGTGAATAGCCATTTATATATCTTAATATAACTGCAACACTTGATATGGAATGCCATTTAAATACTTAAATCTAATTCAGATGTAGAATTCTTGTTATCTGCCATGCAATTATGGATGGAAATGGAAGCCATTCTGATGTCTTCTAACAATCACATGTAATAAGTAAAGGTAAATTCAACCCCCACCTCACCGTTGGTTGACAGTAACACAAAAAGAATATTCCCACGAGCTCGACACCCGTGGATCCAATTTACAAGCTTTTTTCCACGAAGACAAGAAATAGCATTTCTTATTAAATTCAGAAAAAAGACAAAATGCAGCATTTTTTTGGTATTAATTTAATGTTTTTTTTTCCAAGAGAAGCAGAATTATTGAGTGTGGCGTTAACCACAGTTGGTCAGCAAAATACAACACTGGACAATTTTCCGGGGTCAAAATTTAGGGAGGAAAGTACACATGGCTTTCACCGTACACCCTCATTATAGTCCGTTAGATTCAAATCCTAAACCTCATCCTACGGTCAGAAAATATATATGACGTTCTTCTTTTTCCACGCTGATTCGCCGAACCCGTCCGCGGGACGAAGATATAAAGAAGCAGTCCCAGTTTGACCGACGACCATCAAACACACACAGGAAAAATTAAAAACACCAAAAAAAAAGAGACTTAAAAAATATTAAGAAAGTAAAACAAAAAACAGTTGGAGAGAGAGGAGACGACGACTCTCTCTATCTGTCTCACAGAAGACTTTCTTCTTTGTCCTGCTGGTCTTGTTGGTCTATATAAGGCTGACCCGAAACCCATGGCAAAAATATCTCTCTCTCTTTCTTTCTTCTCTCTTCTTTTCACATTTTCTCGTTCTTCACCAAAAACCAAGTGCAAAAGTGTGAAGAGTTTTAAGAAGGCAAGAATTAACAATTCATTCTTTGGGTGCAGATTTGATTTTTTTCAACTTGAGCAGTCCAAGCTGCTTTGAACATAGAGTTCAACCGGTTTCTAAAATTGGGTTCACCTAATTTGCTCTGTTTTTCAAACCCATCAGTTGAAATCTCGAGTTTTGAGTGATTTGATCGGTTTTGGGAATTAAAAATGGCGGCGGCATTAGCCGGAGATGATCTGGCAAGGCAGTCTAGCAGCCGGCGGAGCTGGCGGTCGACGAGTGTTCGGGAAATGTGGAACGCGCCGGACGTGTTTCAGCGGAGTGGGCGGCAGCAGGCGGTGGATGAGGAGGAGGAGCTCAAGTGGGCAGCTATAGAGAGGCTGCCCACTTATGACAGGATGAGGAGGGGGATGTTGAGACAGGCCATGAGCAATGGGAGGGTTATAACTGAAGAAGTTGATGTTGCAAACCTCGGAGCTCAGGATAAGAAGCAGTTGATGGAGAGCATACTTAAGGTTGTTGAGGAGGATAATGAGAGGTTCTTGCAGAGGCTCAGAGCCAGAAATGACAGGTTTGTCTCTATTTCGGTTTTCTGTAGTTTGGTTGATCAGAAAAGCATGAAGTGAAAAATTAGAGTTGGATTTGAAATTGTGAGAAAAGGGAAATAACTAAAATTTCCAATCTGAAATTGTTTGGTTTGGAGCTTGAGAAAACATAATCACTGCTTAATTGTCTGCATGATTCAATCAACTATAGCCTTCCCGGGAGGTCAAAGTTTAAATCTTTGAAAATAAAACATAAAGCAGATGATATAAAGATGTATTTTTCCTTTGGTTTCTTGCTAACCATGTTTGATTTGGATGACCTTGTAATTTGTGTTTTACTTTGGAAACAGGGTTGGTATTGAGGTTCCTAAGGTTGAAGTTAGATTCCAGAATGTATCAATAGAGGGAGATGCATATGTTGGCACCAGAGCACTTCCAACTCTGCTAAATTCCACCTTGAATCAACTAGAGGTATTGTTTCAGCGTTTCTTAATCCCAAACCTCACTTCTTAATCTTGCTTCTGCTAGTGAATCTTAGGTTTCTAAATTTCTATATCTGTGAATAGGGACTAATTGGATTGATTGGACTCTCACCGTCAAAGAAAAGAGTTGTCAAGATACTCCAAGATGTGAGCGGTATTATTAAACCATCAAGGTATGCTCATGGGTTTCCATATCTAAGATCTTTGCAGGACTAGTACAAGTTTTGTTGCATCAATGAAAAAAATCTAGTCAGTTATCATTAACAAAGTCATTTGTTCCTCTGAAAGATGATGGAAACTATTTTATTGGTATGCTACTCATGCGAGGTAGTTTTGTTTCTGAACTCCATCATGAGCTTATTGTTTTGTTTCTCAGGATGACACTGCTTCTTGGACCTCCTTCGTCAGGAAAAACAACACTGTTAAAAGCACTTGCTGGAAAGCTTGATAAGGATCTAAGGGTTTGTCATCCTCTCTATCTCCTTAGTTTTTTTTTTATCAGTTTATGTCAATTTTATTAGTGTGCATACATGTACACTGTTTAGCATGTATTAATAAGTTGGGGTTATAAACAGGAAACTGGGAAAGTGACCTACTGTGGCCATGAATTCAAGGAATTTGTGCCTCAGAGAACCTCTGCTTATATTAGTCAGCATGATCTTCATTATGGTGAGATGACAGTTCGTGAAACATTGGATTTCTCTGGACGTTGCCTGGGAGTTGGAACCAGGTATGATATGCTTGTAGAGTTGTCTAGACGGGAGAAAGATTCAGGCATCAAACCAGATCCTGAGATTGATGCATTCATGAAAGCCACATCTATGACAGGCCAGGAAACTAGTTTGATCACAGATTATGTTCTCAAGGTTTGTTGACTCAGTTAGAAGGTTGTCTCCTTGGCTTTCGTATTCTTATTGTACAAGGCTGACGTCTTATAATTATTTTGATAGATACTTGGACTTGATATCTGTGCTGATATTATGGTGGGTGATGACATGAGAAGGGGCATATCTGGTGGACAAAAGAAACGTGTAACTACTGGTATGTTACTCTGTCATGGAATTTTTGCTTGTTTACTTTTAAAACATTTCTTAGATTTTCTATATGCTTAGGCACCAATGCGGTTTATGTCCACTGGACCTTTTATTTCTTACAAACCCTTTTTAGTCTGGCTTCGCAGGGTAGGAATGATAATTAAGGTACAAACATATGTCCTTGTATTATAATCTGTTGTGTTTGCTCTGAATGCAGGAGAAATGTTGGTTGGACCAGCGAAAGCATTTTTCATGGATGAAATATCAACAGGGCTGGACAGTTCCACAACCTTTCAGATTGTGAAGTTCATGAGACAGATGGTTCATATCATGGATGTGTCTATGGTCATCTCTCTCTTGCAACCAGCACCTGAGTCTTATGATCTTTTTGATGACATTATCCTTCTTTCTGAGGGTCAGATTGTCTACCAAGGCCCGCGTGAGAATGTTCTGGAATTCTTTGAATTTATGGGGTTCAGATGCCCAGACAGAAAGGGTGTTGCAGACTTTTTGCAAGAAGTGACCTCAAAGAAGGACCAAGAACAATACTGGTATAAGAAAAACCAACCTTATAGATATGTCTCAGTATCTGATTTCGTTCGGGCTTTTACGACTTTCCATGTTGGCCAACGGCTTGTGGAAGAACTAAGAGTTCCATACGATAAACGAACAGTCCATCCTGCTGCATTGGTGAAGGAAAAGTATGGAATATCCAATATGGAGATCTTCAAGGCATGCTTTGCGAGGGAATGGTTGCTGATGAAGCGTAACTCTTTTGTATACATATTCAAAACTACCCAGATAACAATCATGGCTACAATTGCTCTGACAGTATTCTTAAGAACAGAAATGAAAGCTGGACAAGCACAAGATTCGGCAAAATTTTGGGGAGCACTGTTTTTCAGTCTCATTAACGTTATGTTTAATGGAATGGCAGAGCTTGCCATGACAGTTTTCAGGCTTCCTGTGTTCTTCAAACAAAGGGATGCTTTGTTCTTCCCTGGCTGGGCCTTTGGCTTGCCCATTTGGCTAACCAGAATTCCCATTTCAGTGATGGAATCTGGGATATGGATCATTTTGACATACTACTCCATTGGATTTGCACCTGCTGCCAGTAGGTGAGCTTTAATTTATCAGCAATATTATTCTCGGAAGCTTTAGTTTTTTGATACTAAATAAATGATGAAGGATATTGCAACCTAGTTAATTTTTAATCTTACATATGCCAATATGTTCAGGTTCTTCAAACAGTTCTTGGCTTTCTTTGGTATACACCAGATGGCTCTCTCCCTCTTCCGTTTCATTGCTGCCCTTGGTAGAAGTGAGGTTGTTTCTGGCACAATTGGTTCTTTTACATTGCTACTCGTGTTTGTCCTAGGAGGTTTTGTTGTTGCTAAAGGTTAGAAATCCTTCTCATTTCAATATCAAAGCTACTGCATTGACCAATTTGATACCAGCACTTTCTATGGACTTCTGAATAATTGCATTAATGACTGTTATTCCTTTCATATATTTTCAAATGTTCACAATATTCCATTGTGTTGTGCAGATGACATTTTGCCATGGATGATATGGGGCTACTATGTTTCACCTATGATGTATGGGCAAAATGCAATTGCTATCAATGAATTTCTTGATAAAAGATGGAGCTCTGTAAGTTCTCTTAAGCCTTAAATTGAATTCTCAGTATACCTTGAAAATAAAATAATTTTTTTTTTTTTTTTTTTATAAATCTAAGTTGATGTGTGTGTGTGCTTAATGAACTTTTTAATCCCTTTCCACAGCATGTCAACGGCACCATTGATGACACAGTTGGAAAGGTACTTCTGAGGGAAAGCGTCTAATGTTCTTTTCATTGGAGCACTGACCTTCTTAGATCGTAAGTGAACAATTTTCATTTGTCATTAGGTATAGTTATGGTAATGGATAAAGCACTGATTATTTGTTTCTTTTTTACTCAATTTCAGCTCTTAGTGAAACTAAAACTCTAATTGAGAATGACGACAACTCTGAAAGTAGGAAGAGGCGACAATCCAATCCAGAAGGTAAATAATAGGAGTTTCTAAAAGATGACACGTGCTTTATACATTTAGAGAAGTAGCCATTTTGCATCATTATGCTAGCTAGATAACATTATGCATCATTTTTTTTTATGTCATGTGGCAGGACAAATTCTATTGCATAACAATTACATCTTGAGCGTTAGCTTTGCTATCAAATTATTTTCTACGCCTAATAAATAGTGATCAATGGCAGGTATTGATATGCAAGTCAGAAATGCTCAAGGAATTGTTAGTGCCGAAAATAACCAAGCCAAACGAGGAATGGTTTTGCCCTTCCAGCCCCTCTCGCTTGCTTTCAACCATGTGAATTACTATGTGGATATGCCTGCCGTAAGTAACTTGCACATTTTTCCTCTGAGGTCTGAAGTTTTAATTTCAAGAATCTATATGGGAACTTATCAGAAGAAGCCGACACGGAATTGGAAATGAGACAGTGTCTTCTCTTCATATATAGTAGAAATATTTTACTTTAAAGCATTTTGCATAATTCGCTTTAGTTTAGGTTGACTTTTTTTTAATGAACAGTTCCGCTGATTTAAGTCATGAATTCTAGAGCATATGATATAAAACAAATGTCATGGTTTAATGTGATTCTTCTTGGTAACAATTTTTGTGTCCTCACCAGGAAATGAAGACCCAAGGGATTGAAGAGACCCGACTGCAACTTCTACGAGATGTTAGTGGTGCATTTAGGCCAGGTGTTTTGACTGCATTAGTTGGTGTCAGTGGTGCTGGAAAGACCACCTTGATGGATGTCTTAGCTGGAAGAAAGACCGGCGGCTATATTGAAGGAAGTATTACGATCTCTGGTTACCCAAAGAACCAAGCCACATTTGCCCGGGTCAGCGGTTACTGTGAACAGAATGACATTCATTCACCATTTGTTACTGTCTATGAATCTCTCCTATACTCTGCCTGGCTACGTATTTCCAAGGATGTCAAGACGGAGACACGAAAGGTATGCTATTTATTTGACACCTAAAACAGTTCTAACCTTTAATTTCTGATAATACAATGTAATGTGTCTACATCAGTCTTTTTCACCTAAAAAGAAGTCATAGTTAATCGCCAAAATGACAATCATGTTGCTCCATATTTAAGAACAGGATGAGACGGATGATGTTGCTGACCCTGATTTTCTTTTTCTTATCTTAGATGTTTGTTGATGAGGTTATGGACTTGGTGGAGCTTAACCCATTGAGGAATGCTTTAGTTGGACTTCCAGGAGTTGATGGACTTTCGACCGAGCAGAGAAAGAGGCTCACCATTGCTGTAGAATTAGTTGCCAACCCTTCCATCATCTTTATGGATGAGCCAACGTCAGGTCTTGATGCTAGAGCAGCTGCAATTGTTATGCGTACTGTGAGAAACACTGTGGATACAGGACGAACTGTTGTCTGTACAATTCACCAACCTAGCATTGACATTTTTGAAGCATTTGATGAGGTATGATTTGATTTTTAATCTGTTAAATCTGTAGCATTGTTCATTATTTTAAGTACTATATTTCACATTAGTTTTGTTTTGCATTGCAGCTTTTCTTAATGAAAAGAGGAGGACAGGTGATTTATGCAGGTCCTCTAGGTCGCCAGTCTCACAAGCTTGTTGAATACTTTGAGGTAAGTTTATGCTCAAATCATTATCCATGGATCCAAAAGTTAATAGTTGGTCTAAACCTGACTTAGACCCAACTTCAGTAAAAAAAATCTTTCAAACATCAATCTCACGTAATCCATATACATCTCACTCCCAACATATTTATTTGTGGGCTTTAATTTGTTGTTATGCAAATGCAAGTTTCTAGAACCATGAATATTATTAAGGATCAAATATGTTTCAATCATGGAAAAAGTTGTCCTCTACCAAAGGGGTTTTATAGTTAAAAGTTTGACTTTATCTATTTCACCTTGCAGGCTATTCCAGGGGTTTCCAAGATCAAAGAAGGTTACAATCCTGCTACCTGGATGTTAGAGGTCAGCTCTGCTTCAATTGAAGCTCAAAATGATGTGGACTTTGCAGAAATATTTGCAAACTCTGATCTCTATAGGTAAGTTGCATGTAACTTCGTTTTTCCTCATTTCTATCATTGCCACTCACTTGTCGTTGTGTGTTAAATTTTTCTTCATTTTTGTTTAATTTGTTCAGGAGAAATCAGGAACTTATCAAGGAACTAAGCATACCAGAACCAGGCTCCAAGGATCTTTACTTCCCCACCCAGTACTCCCAAAGCTTTTTAACTCAGTGCAAGGCTTGCTTCTGGAAACAAAACTGGTCATACTGGAGGAACTCACGGTACAATGCCATTAGGTTTTTCATGACAATTTGCATCGGAGTATTATTTGGTATTATCTTCTGGGGCAAAGGAGATGATATGTAAGTTTAAGAACTTTATTATGAGCTGGATCTTTCGTACATATTATTCTTTGAATTTTGTGATTCAGTTGCATGTTCTTTGCTATAAGTGTGACGTATATGATGTTTAACTGTATATTATCTTGTGAACAGACACAAGCAACAAGACCTGATTAATCTTTTGGGAGCTACCTATTCTGCTATTCTTTTCCTTGGAGCTAGCAATGCTTCTGCTGTGCAATCTGTGGTTGCGGTTGAACGAACAGTTTTCTATCGTGAAAGAGCAGCGGGAATGTATTCAGAGTTGCCATATGCATTTGCTCAGGTAAGATATTGGAAGTTATGCTTGGTTACGTCTTAGCTTTTATATAACATTAAATCTCGTATCTTTGTTATTGATACATATATTGGTGTTGTAGGTGGCTATTGAGACAATTTATGTTGCAATCCAAACCTTTGTCTATTCCTGTCTTCTATTTTTCATGATCGGGTATAATTTTAAGGTGGAGAAGTTTCTGTACTTCTACTACTTCATATTCATGTGCTTTACCTACTTCTCAATGTACGGGATGATGGTGGTTGCCCTAACTCCTGGCCATCAAATTGCTGCAATTACTATGTCTTTCTTCTTGAGCTTCTGGAACTTGTTCTCTGGTTTCCTCATCCCCAGGCCGGTATGTCATTTGAAACTCATTTGTTCTTATACCAATGATTAATCTTGTTCCAAACCATCTCTTTTATTTCTGCAATCATAACAATTGAATCTCACTCTTGCAGCTAATTCCCATCTGGTGGAGGTGGTACTACTGGGGCTCTCCTGTTGCTTGGACAATCTATGGCATCTTCACATCCCAAGTTGGTGACATAAAGACAGAGATCATAGTTAATATTGACGAAAGAAAAGCTGTTGATGTATTCCTTAAAGATTTTTTAGGTTTTGAGTACGATTTTCTGATCCCTGTTGTCATTGCTCATGTTGCTTGGGTCCTCCTCTTCTTCTTTGTCTTTGCATACGGCATCAAGTTCTTGAACTTCCAAAGGAGATAAGCAAATTCACTGTGCAGCAGTGAAGAACCTTAAGAATGTGAAATAGATAGCTTGAGTGTACAACATTATAATTAGAGAGACAAAATTTGTCCTCTCTTTTTGTCATTTCATTTTTGCTTTTGCTTCATACGTTTGTGTAATTTAGTTTGTCTTGGATACCTTTTCCTTAATACTTTGTATAGCTATTTTTATTCTTGAATATTTAATAGAAGGACCTTGTGAATGTTCTTTTCAACAAAAGATGTCTTCAACCTTGTCATAACTTAAAAAGGTTCGTGGTTTACTGCTATATTTTCCCCCACGGGAGGCCTGATGAGTAAGAATTTATTCAACCAAAGAATTCAGTAATGCCTCACTTGAGCTGAACAAAGAAACAGTAGATAATAGGCAGATTCTAATAAACTTGAGCTCTGAGAGGTTGCCACAAGAAAGTGGCAATATCAGTGCCCTCTTTATTTACACGAAGAAAACAATAAGCAAGTGATATGGTCTTACATTACTTATTAGACAAATCATAGCATAACCAATATCTCATAAACTTGAGCTGATATGAGATTCGCATAAGAAAGTTGCATCAGCATTCTCATCATTGCAATAGAGACAAGGGTGCTGCTCAAAGCCTTGTTCTCTCAAAACTTGTCTAGCAAGCATCACAACCTGTCTATTGCTTAGGTCAGCCTCATGCTCCTTCAACACCATTTGAACTGCATTGCTGAATGCACCACATGCCTTTCCTCTAGTCATGACCGGGTTCGTCATGTCAGCAGAAGTCTCATTTGCTTGACACCCACTTAGTAAGATTCCCTCATCAGGGTTCGATGACTCGAACATGTTGAGTAGTTCGAGCGGAGGCAAACGAAACTTGAGGCTGGCATCTGCTGCAAACAACTCTAACAAGTGGGTTGCAATGTCAGATGTGTTTATGCTTGTCAATGATGCGAGGTGGTGTAATATGGACTCAAAAGGAATGCCCTTAGGCTTAGAGGAAACTGATGGGGATGTGTTGCTAATTTCAGTGACATGAGAAGGTCCAATCTGCTCTTTCTCCTTGTCAATGAGCCCTCCACTGTGGCATGAGTCTGACAGGATTGTAAAGCTTGCTCCCTTTGGCAAGCGGTTTACTAGTTGTCTGAAATCCACGTCTGCACATAAAAGTTACCAATAAATTAACCACGTTATTTTCACCGACTTCCAAGTTTACAACTCGTCTCATACTCACACTTGCTATCCGTGCATGTTGTAATTAGTTATATATTTAACTAATTGAACAATAGCAAAAATTCATAAGGGTCTTACTGTGAATCAGGAAAAGATACCACATTGTAGACCACATCTCTATGATAGAGGCGGGATGTATAAAGCGAAATCTCACCTCTATAATTACTCATTAGAACATTAAATTACTAAAATTAACATGTATACAAGAGATTAAACAATTGAACAATTAGATTAAAAGCACCCACCAGTGATGAGATTGAAATCACAAGGCACAATAGCCTCATCCTGCCTGAAGTGGTTGCCTGGCTTCAATGAAGGGATCCTTGTTCCATGGCCACTATAGTGAAAATACAAGACATCACCTGGCTTAGCTTGATCAACCATTGCACCAAGTGCCTTCTTAATATTTGCACCTGTGGGCATAACTGAGGAAGAAGAACCTGCAGCTGCAGCATCAGTCAACAGCTGAATGTTTCCTGGATCAAACCCAAAGCGATCCACAAGCGTGCCTCTCATGGCCACCACATCATTTATGCAACCATGCAGCTCATTTCTGGTGTTTGGGTAATTGCAGCCCACCAAAACTGCCAACCTCTTCTTGTTTTCATTCTCCATAATTATAATTTGCAGGCAATAATCTGAGTGTAAATTGTAGACCAATAAATTAATTTTGTCACCCAATTTACAAGTTTTTGTGTCTGCGATTTGGTCTCTTCCTAAGTTTTGGTTTTATACATATTGTTGCTGGAGTGTCAATGCCTCGCTTGAAATTTCATTCAAGTTACATTGGCATGCTTTGGATTGGCTTCCAAGCCTGGGAAGGTTTCTGCATTTTAAAGTCTAGTCCTTCTTCCTTTCAAGAATTAGAAAATAAAATAAAAATAAAAATTCGGTGAAAATAATAAGTTAACAAAGCCTCGCAAATAAAAAGTGGAATTGTCTCTCTTCATCATTTGTGGGAATAAATTCCCAGTTTTTTTTTTCTTTGAATACATAGAATTTGCTACTTCTATATTTTCTTTACATGACTTATGTTCTTTCTCACCCTAGGTTTTCTATTATTTGGGTGAACATGATTTAATTTCCAATGCCCATGGAGCTAGTTACTCATTCGACTCGATATTCATACTCTTCTTGGTAAGAACGTTGTTGTGTTTTAAGATTGGAGAAAGAAAATATGTAAATTTTAATAAGGTGTTATGTGGAGAACAAAAGTAAAGTAGACCATGGTAATGTAAATCAAAGCAGATGATCCGAATCCATAGAACAATTGTCAATGGGCTGCATTAAATTCAATAATTATTTACTTTCTTTTTTATTCCCATAAATAGCATTAAATTATGCAATAATAATGGGTTAACACAATGTGTTGTAAACTCCTACAAGGTTATTTTAGCTAGTCCTTTTTGAAGAGACTATTCCAACCATGCTCTCATGATACCCATCATATGTGTGTTTGCCCGTTTTGCGTTCACTCCTGTGATGGAAGGGCAAAGTTCCTCACTGCCTTGAGAACCATAAACTGGTCGACAAGTCAGCTTTCTTTGGTGTGCGAGCGTGCCACTGCTAGCAATAAAAATTCTAGCAGACTTAGTTTGGAGTAGATAACTTGCGCCCCAAGTTACTGATTTCTGCAAACAAACGATTGTGAATTTGGGTGAGGAATATCTCCCAAGTAAGTTCTTTTCTTGCCTCAGACGGGTGAGGACTTTAACAATTTATCTCAGTATAAACAGGCTGCTCTGGCCAAAATGGTTGATGGAATTTAAACTGTTTCAGGCAGAACTGATGGAATTTAAACTGTTTTTAGGCAGAACTGATGGAATTTAAACTGTTTTTAGGCAGAACTGATGGAATTTAAACTGTTTTTAGGCAGAACTGATGGAATTTAAACTGTTTTTAGGCAGAACTGATGGAATTTAAACTGTTTTTAGGCAGAACTGATGGAATTTAAACTGTTTTTAGGCAGAACTGATGGAATTTAAACTGTTTTTAGGCAGAACTGATGGAATTTAAACTGTTTTTAGGCAGAACTGATGGAATTTAAACTGTTTTTAGGCAGAACTGATGGAATTTAAACTGTTTTTAGGCAGAACTGATGGAATTTAAACTGTTTTTAGGCAGAACTGATGGAATTTAAACTGTTTTTAGGCAGAACTGATGGAATTTAAACTGTTTTTAGGCAGAACTGATGGAATTTAAACTGTTTTTAGGCAGAACTGATGGAATTTAAACTGTTTTTAGGCAGAACTGATGGAATTTAAACTGTTTTTAGGCAGAACTGATGGAATTTAAACTGTTTTTAGGCAGAACTGATGGAATTTAAACTGTTTTTAGGCAGAACTGATGGAATTTAAACTGTTTTTAGGCAGAACTGATGGAATTTAAACTGTTTTTAGGCAGAACTGATGGAATTTAAACTGTTTTTAGGCAGAACTGATGGAATTTAAACTGTTTTTAGGCAGAACTGATGGAATTTAAACTGTTTTTAGGCAGAACTGATGGAATTTAAACTGTTTTTAGGCAGAACTGATGGAATTTAAACTGTTTTTAGGCAGAACTGATGGAATTTAAACTGTTTTTAGGCAGAACTGATGGAATTTAAACTGTTTTTAGGCAGAACTGATGGAATTTAAACTGTTTTTAGGCAGAACTGATGGAATTTAAACTGTTTTTAGGCAGAACTGATGGAATTTAAACTGTTTTTAGGCAGAACTGATGGAATTTAAACTGTTTTTAGGCAGAACTGATGGAATTTAAACTGTTTTTAGGCAGAACTGATGGAATTTAAACTGTTTTTAGGCAGAACTGATGGAATTTAAACTGTTTTTAGGCAGAACTGATGGAATTTAAACTGTTTTTAGGCAGAACTGATGGAATTTAAACTGTTTTTAGGCAGAACTGATGGAATTTAAACTGTTTTTAGGCAGAACTGATGGAATTTAAACTGTTTTTAGGCAGAACTGATGGAATTTAAACTGTTTTTAGGCAGAACTGATGGAATTTAAACTGTTTTTAGGCAGAACTGATGGAATTTAAACTGTTTTTAGGCAGAACTGATGGAATTTAAACTGTTTTTAGGCAGAACTGATGGAATTTAAACTGTTTTTAGGCAGAACTGATGGAATTTAAACTGTTTTTAGGCAGAACTGATGGAATTTAAACTGTTTTTAGGCAGAACTGATGGAATTTAAACTGTTTTTAGGCAGAACTGATGGAATTTAAACTGTTTTTAGGCAGAACTGATGGAATTTAAACTGTTTTTAGGCAGAACTGATGGAATTTAAACTGTTTTTAGGCAGAACTGATGGAATTTAAACTGTTTTTAGGCAGAACTGATGGAATTTAAACTGTTTTTAGGCAGAACTGATGGAATTTAAACTGTTTTTAGGCAGAACTGATGGAATTTAAACTGTTTTTAGGCAGAACTGATGGAATTTAAACTGTTTTTAGGCAGAACTGATGGAATTTAAACTGTTTTTAGGCAGAACTGATGGAATTTAAACTGTTTTTAGGCAGAACTGATGGAATTTAAACTGTTTTTAGGCAGAACTGATGGAATTTAAACTGTTTTTAGGCAGAACTGATGGAATTTAAACTGTTTTTAGGCAGAACTGATGGAATTTAAACTGTTTTTAGGCAGAACTGATGGAATTTAAACTGTTTTTAGGCAGAACTGATGGAATTTAAACTGTTTTTAGGCAGAACTGATGGAATTTAAACTGTTTTTAGGCAGAACTGATGGAATTTAAACTGTTTTTAGGCAGAACTGATGGAATTTAAACTGTTTTTAGGCAGAACTGATGGAATTTAAACTGTTTTTAGGCAGAACTGATGGAATTTAAACTGTTTTTAGGCAGAACTGATGGAATTTAAACTGTTTTTAGGCAGAACTGATGGAATTTAAACTGTTTTTAGGCAGAACTGATGGAATTTAAACTGTTTTTAGGCAGAACTGATGGAATTTAAACTGTTTTTAGGCAGAACTGATGGAATTTAAACTGTTTTTAGGCAGAA